GAGAAAACAACCTAACAAACGCCCATACACTGTTCCGCCCCCCAACTGACCTGTCGTCGTCCATAATGCCGCTACTCTTCTGCATACACTCCCTGACCGCCTGCATGCCCTCCCGGAACCTCTGCTGCAGCCTCCGAGCGTACAGCGAAGCCCCGCCCTCACTCAGGTACCCGCTGGACCAATCATCAGCGCCGGCCCCGCCCCCTCCGTTGTTCCGGTTGTTCTTCAAGATATCGCCGTCCGACATGTAGCCAGAGACGTAGTCGTAAGTGTCTGACTCCGAGGCGTAGTCGGCGTCAGAGGAGGAGGAGTGGGGAGGGGGCGGGCCGTGCGGGCCGGAGGAGGCGGAGCCAGCCCGCTTGATGTGGGCGGAGTAAAACTTGGGGGGCCCGCCGTGCTGTGAGGACTCGCCGAGGGGGCGTGGCGGCATGCCCAAACCTTGTGCGCTGCCGGTGCGTGTGGCGTACATAGCGGTGGTGGGCACGGAGATTCCTGAGGAGGGTGGAAAGGGGAGGGGTTAAGGGTGGGGTTAATATGCAAAAAGGCGTGGCTACAGATAACCTTATAATGTATATTATTGTTTTTTCAAGTAAGCTTTGTGGGCACAGAGACTCCTGAGGGAGGGTGAAAAGGGGAGGGGTTAATATGCAAAAAGGCGTGGCTACATATAACATTATAATGTATATTATTGGTTTTTTTCAAGGAAGCTTTTTTGTCGGCACAGAGACTCCTGAGGAGGGTGAAAAGGGGAGGGGTTAAGGGAGGGGTTAATATGCAAAAAGGCGTGGCTACAGATAACATTATAATGTATATTATTGGTTGTTGTTTTTTTTTTTTCAAGGAAGCTTTTTTGTCGGCACAGAGACTCCCGAGGGAGGGTGACAAGGGGATGGGTTAAGGGAGGGGTTAGAGGTAGAAAGGTGTGGCTAGATATTATAATGAATTTTGTTTTGTTTAAGTAGGCTTTGCTACATTTCTGAGCGAGTAATTTTCTTTTGAGATAGTTTTACGGTCCATACAAATAACTCGAAACAAAGATGATTTCAATATTTTGAAACAGGATGGAGTGTTTGTCAAAAATGACAGTTCTCCTTTAGGCTTAGCCACAGGTGGCTGAAAAATGTTTTCTACCCCCCCCCCTTTT